GTAGAACGTTTGATCATTGATATCAAACCACGACACTTGTTAATAATGTTATAAATCATTTCTTGGTCAGGAACAGTATGTGCACTCGAATCGTTATTATCATCGATCCAATTGTCTACTATTTCATCATCGTTGACGTCAATCGATTCATCGTCGTCGCTAGAAGGATTTTTCATCGTAGTTTCACTCTCATCGATGTTTGAGTCATCATCTATATCCATATCTTCTGTTGTTAGAGACGAAGCATCATCACGCTTCTCGTCATCGTAATCAGCCATGTCATCGGTCGAGTTTTCTTAAAGAAACGATACAGAATAAAATGAGGAAAAAATAATGATCTCTTATTTTAAGTATTCGGGACACAGTATTTGAAGTTATAATTCAACGATTTGAAAAATGAAAAGGAAAATAATCAAGCAATAATACCGCCTATTTCATCATTTGAGGTACTTGCATCTCCACTTTTTTTGTAATCCAAAGACCAAAAGCATTGGTTATTGTAAGATGAAGACGATGCGCCACACACCACAGCCGTTTTGCATACAAATCAAGATCACGTACCATATTGTTCGCTCCATCGCAAGTTATAACAATAACTTTGTGTGAAATATTCAGTTCTCTCAATTTCCTTTTGAGTATTCGAGAAATTTGATGTGATGTATGTCTTTCATTGAATTTAGAAAAATTTAAAACTGTCGATTTTAAATTGATGTCATCGCTTTTGAAATAATGGCCAGTTATGACCAAAAACGACTGATTCTGCCGATTCGCCCAAAAATCGGTGGTTATGGAGATATAATCAACATGTTTTAAATCATCAAATAACTTTTTGCGATGCAATACATGGAGACGTTTGAGACGACGAGTGATGGTATGTCGACTAGGAGGCACATAACCTAAATTTAAAAACAAATATGATCATGAACTATTTCATTTGCTGAGTTTAGCTTAACTGAATTTAGCCTCCTTTGATCAAACTTCATCGCATCGTCCCTAGTTTCAATTAATCTTACCGGGAAGCGCC